GCGGCGCCCGGCCTCGCTCTTCCACGCGCGCGTGCTCGCCCTGGTGCTCACCGACCTGCTGGGCACCTGCTCCGTGAGCCCCTTGGTGCTCGCCTCCTACCACCGCAACCGCACGCTCACCGCCCTCGCGCCCGCCGACCGCCTCTGCCTCGCCTTCGGCTTCTGCATGAGCTTCTTCGGCCTCGCCACCATGCTCATCCTCTTCGCCATGGCGCTGGAGCGATGCCTGGCCCTGGGCCTGCCCTACTTCTACGAGCGCTTCCTCAGCCCCCGCGCTGCCTTCGTGGCCCTGCCTGCCCTCTACACCTTCTCTGCCGCCTTCTGCTCCCTGCCCTTGCTGGGCTTTGGACGCTACGTGGAGTATTGCCCTGGCACCTGGTGCTTCATCCAGATGCACTACCTGCGGCCCGACAGGAAGGATGTCACCTTCTCGCTGCTCTACGCCACCCTGCTGCTCCTGCTCATCGTGGCCGTGCTGCTCTGCAACCTCAGCGTCATCGCCAACCTGGTGCGCATGCACCGGCGCGGGCAGCAGCCCCGCGGCCCGGCCACGCTGGGCAAGTTCTCCATGGCGGAGGAGATCGACCACCTCCTCCTGCTCTCCATCATGACCATCACCTTCGTCATCTGCTCCCTGCCCTTCACGGTGAGTGCGGCTGCCTCTCCTCGTGCCGGTGTCCCCATCCCCGTCACCCCTTCTTCTCTCCTTGCCTCAAGGGCCAGCACCAAAGCCAGGCTCCTCCTGATGCTCGGGGGCTTCTGGCTCTGTCCCGACCTCCTGGCAGGTTTGCATTTCCATGGGGAATGGGAGCAAACACTCCTCAAGGCCCGGAGCTGGTAGGAGATGGGGTGGCAGGAGCAGAGCATCCCCTGGGCATGAGCGTGGCCATGGGCACACGGGGTCCCCTGGACCACTTGTTGGTCACCATGAGTCAAACACTCCTCATAGTTGAGAAGTGCCAGGGCATCCAAGGAGGCTTCCAAAGATGGGGATGGAGCAAAAGGCGCCGGGCTGGGTGGGAGATGCTGCAGCAGGGAGGGGAGCATCAGTGCGCAGGGGGCCGGCGTCACTGCCGGTCTGTGGAGCGAGGGGACGCTCAGAGCGGGAATCGGAGTCTCCACAGCGCCGTGCGCTTAGCACAGAGCTGGGGGGCCGCTGGGAATGGAGATCCGGGCCGCCCGCCACAGCACCAGCAGTCCCAAGGGCCCGGCTGTATCCCGTGCGCCACGGGAGCATGGGAACGGTGCTCC